AATAATAATAATAATAATAATACACTCAAATGCAAGACTAGGTTTGTCTATATTGCAAACTCAAGACAAAGGTGCTTCAAGGCACAAACCACCCAATAGTCAGACCTAAGACATCTTCAAGGTTGATAAAAGGGTGCATCTCACTTCATTGCATGACAATTCACGAACAATTGCGCCATGCCTGCCGGACCTATCTGGAGCAGCGTCACCATCGCAGTTGGTACTTATCCCAATCATCTTACCCATATCAGACTCAGCCATCATATGCGCGAACGCTATCTAAAGCTTGGTGCATTGGCGCCCGGCGATGTCTTACCGAATGTGGAGGTCCATCCTTTCTGCATTTTACTCGCCTACCTGAATGGCGATGAATCTCTTTCGGTCTTCAAAAGACAAGCCACCGATCCCAGCTTTCTTCTTATCTTTGCGCGTACATGGGCACTGGCAGCTCGTCTTAGCCTCCGAATGCTTCAAAATGAGCTAATCTCAGTTATGAGTAAACTCTACACCGTGATCAACGAAGGAACATGCAGTTATCAGCGATGCACTTGGACAGATATCTATCTCCTTCAAGCCTTTCAGCACATCCGCTCGCAGTTCGGACCAGAAACTCACGCTGAAAACTTTCTCGTGTGCTTCAGTAGTATAACAGCGCCATTAATTGGCGAGCTTGAGAAACAGCTGAGAAGCAAAGATTTCGACTTTGATATCCGGGAGAAGATATTGAAAGAAGCCCGGTCATTTGAGCGAGATCCCATCATACACTGTCCTCACATTTTCCACGTTAGTACATTGAACCCGCCAAGTTACCCTCCACTCGATGTACAACGATTGCCACAAGATGAGAGCTCAAATGCCGATGCGACAAGGTTACATTCCAACAGATCATCTTCTGCCACTAATGGTCGCTTCAATTCGAGCGAACGGAACTACCGCAGCTCATTGGAACATGAAATACGTATTCTTAGAGAGTCTGGATCTCCCCATGCGACTTCAGAGTCTTCAAATATTTCATACCAGAGGCAAGCTAACAGTAAGTTAGATTCGATGGTGCACCTTACAATCCGCGACCAAGATGCGCCAGACCGATACGGTCCACTTCATACACAAGATCCCGGCGACACGAGCAGCTCCGTCATGAACGAAGGTCGCAAACTCAATCTAGGCTATGCCACTCCAGAGCATTACCTTCCAATGTCGCATATGCATCCAACGCTACCTCCGTCCAGCGCCATGTCTCCTTCCGCCTGCCACATTCGGATACCGTGTATGATTCAGATCCTGCAGAAGAATAACGAGCCTCGAACCGACAACAGCAATCGTTTTCGCGGGAGCAATGATGACAAGAAAAGAGCAAGCCCAAGTATTCCCGGTGTGCGAGAGAATAGCAGCGATACAGCACGAGTGAGCGCTAACAATGCGCGACATGGTGAGCGGGTTACCCGAGAGAAGAGGCGGAGGCGATATCGATGGTTTTCGCTCCTGACATGTGGAGTTACATATCAATAGTTCAAATCAGATTTAACGGCAAAAGAATTCGATATCATAGTTTTGTATACACAACACATCATCTAATCCAATAATCACTTCCTCCTCCATCCTTCCCCCCATCATATGATTGTACGTATTCAAAGAAACAACAGGAATAACAACAAAACCACCAAAGAGCCAGCTCACCCCCCATCCATGTCCAGCATATCCCCTCCTTTCAATCCTTCAAAAAGTAAGTTTCCAAACCAACCCCCTAACCCCATTCCTGACACTGACCCCCATCTTCACAACCGTCCTCTTCACCCCTCCAATCACGCACCCACTCGCACTCGCACTCGCACTTGCGCTCCCGCTCCGACTCCGGCCACCCTTCCACTTCTCCTCCGTATCCCGGCGGATAATCTCCATACTATCAACCGTACACAGCGCCAGCGTGACGAGACCGACGTCTGCGCACTCAGCGCCGTTATCTTCGGCGTCTCCATCGTAATTAGCATCCGGGGAGGTGGGATGAGGTTGCCTGTGGGAACGGGTGTGGCTGAGATCTGCCATTTCGATGTTGACGTACAAGGAGTTGAAGGTTTTGTATTGCTGGGTTCGGGAGCGACGGGTGAGTTTTGGGAGGGGGAAAGGGCTTCTTTTTGAAGGGGTTGGTGGAGGTGGTGATGTAGTGGTGTTGTTGAAGATTCTGGTCAAGGGGTATGTGAAGGGGTATGTGTAGGATTGAGTGCGTGACAGGGGGGCTGTGGTGATGGAGGACATGCTGCGGTTTGATGTGGGAGTGTCCATTTTGGAGGTGTTTGGAGGGATTTGCTTGGTGTTGTGGAGGCTTTGAGGTTAGCACAAGGTGTAGTACTTTGTTCTGTGCGTTGATGTTTACGGTGATAACTGGATGGGAGGCTCAGAGTACGGAGGATTCTCTTATATATCGTTCATGAAGGCATCAAATGCGGTATTATTTACTTAGTTTTCTCAACTATGGATCGGAATGTGTGCGTACCACAGTTGATGCTTGCGGAACATGAACATCACAAATGTAGTCGGTCTTTGATATACTCATGCCTTCCTGTCTCCTATAAACTAATCGAATTACATTCTGTCTGATATTTACGCATCGTTCGTAAACATGTGTGGTTGGCGTTTATGCATGGTTGTGACGTACGACCAATAGCTCTGGGTGTGTCCCAAATCAATTCCCTCACTCCCAAACTCCCCACCATCCTGCAGTATTTCAAACACCTGTCAAAAAGATCTGCGTTGCGCTCTGTGGGTAACCCTGACGCTTGAGAGATTTGTAAAATGTCCCCGCACCCTTCCAGGTACTAGCTGTTCTAACTCGCCTGCCATCGTACTGAAGAGCTGATCAACCGTTTCAGCAAACTTCTTCAATTCATGTCCCAAATCCTGGTGGCGAGGACTCTGAACAGAGGCACTATCTGAGATTTCCATAATTTCGGGCACGCACAACACCTTGTAGGCTGTGAGTTGCATCTGCTTCTCGCAATGCGTACAGTACCAGCGCGATACATTCTCCACACCAAGCTTCTTGACACACGACTTGTGAAAGTTCTTGATGGTGCAATGTCGATATGAGCACGTTATCAAGTCTCTGCGTAGAGAAGGACATGAGTTCTCCGGCATCGCGATACTGCAATAGCAAATGCGGGGCTGTCCAGGCTTCCCAGAGGCTTTGCGCTGAATCTCTGGTAGTGTATCCTGTATAAGCTGTTGATTCCTGAATTTGTTGCTATATTTGATACGATGGTATAAATTCTCTTGTTTCATAAGAGGTCCAGGTCCAAAACCATCATGGAAATCTGCAATCTCCTGGGCTAGACGTCCTGGTTCAGAGTCCAGATTGGGAAACCTAGCTGGATTCGATGGGTCTCCCGTGAGATAGTTAATGAAATCAGTATCAACGAGCATCAGGCAGCCCTTAACTCTAGCATCTTTTTCGTAGATTGATAATAGCTTCTCGCCACGGAGACGGTTGTAAGGCCCACTAGTACATGGCTTGTCACCAGGCATAATAAGGAAACATTGGTCTGTCATGGGGTCGACGCAAGGGCAATCTGGACTTGTATCAGTACTTCGTGCTAGGAAGTAGCTAGGCTGCACGTACGAGGCGGGTGGAATGGGCAGTCCAAGATATGGTTCTTCTCGAAAATGCACCAAGATTCGTATGAGCAGCCACCCCACGATGGCAGGAAAGGATTTGTCAACTGATCTGCAGTGAATTTGAGTACAAAAATTCTCCAATGTGATTGCTTTCTATGCGTTGTGACTGGCAAAGGTTCAGTGGGGAGGTTGTTTGATACATCCTGAAGGGACGCTATGGCAGATCCGGTATTCGTTGATGTCTGAATTATATCATAGCCAACACTGACTACATCTTGAATGGGCAATGCCAGTGAAATTTCTTCCGTGTCGGAGTTCTGACTGCCAGCTTCCAACACTGTCGAAATGTCACAGAGTGATGTATCAACAGCTTCGATGACTTGGTTGTTCGCTCCTTTGCTGGCGATGGAAGCTTCGGTGTCTCTCATCATGCCAAGTTTCCTAGCCTTGCGCTTCGCCTCGCGTAGTTTCTTGGATTTCTTCTTTTGTGAAACTATAACATGCTCGGTGGCAGCTTTCTCCTCTGGTTCTGTGGCGAAAGTCTCTGGTCCTTTAGATAATGGGGCTAAAGAACCCTTGACAGCCGGAGCATTAGAGAAAGGTTCATCAAAAGAGTCGCGATTCGCAGAACACTGGTCCAAGGGTGATATTTCTGTGTGCAATGAAGGCCGAGCGAGCTGAGACTGCTGGCTTGAGAAATCATCCCAGACAGGCAGCCTAAGAGCGGGTGCTTTCGACCTTGTACCATCGGTAGTAGTGATCCAGCCATCTGAGGATGACGGCATAACTGTCTTCTTCACATGAGCTAACATGGGTTTTGCAGCTTGCTGTATTGTCTTGGTGTTGGTCACTCTCACTGAAACAGGCGCTCGACCAGGAGTAGGATCTGGCAGCAGAGGTAATAATGGCGCTTGGTAAGGCTCAATGCTCGCCTCGTGAAGCCCGTCATCACCATTCACACGCTGATGTGTGGTCTCGAGATGCCTTCGGTCAGGACCGTCCCCTGCCCAGCTTTTTCTCGGCTGCTGATTCTCTTGCTGATCACTGGTCTGATGTTAGCTTTCTACCCCGTACAACAGATGAAGTTGAATTTGAGGAATGGCAAATGGACAACATACCTTGATGACACATTGCTTTCCGTGGCTGGGATTTTCATGACACTCGGACTGACTGCAATTGTCGCTGATTTCCCACCCATTTTCCAGCTTTTTGTGGAATATCTGTCCGCTAAAATCTCATACGAAGCTCTGTTGACGTATCGTAGATAGCCCGCTCGTCGCATGCGCACTTCTGCAATATCTCTCTTGGCTTGCACAATGTCTTCAGTTATAGCCAATTCTAAGACATTGACAAGAGTGAGCAAGTTTTCCAGCTCTTTTCCATGCAGACCTCTTGTGCTGGTGTTACGTTTGAGTAGCCTCGTGATGTGAAAGATGTTCAGGATGCGGTCCATCTCGGCGTCAAATCCCGTTTCTTGCATCTTGCCGGAATTGTCTGTGAGACTTCCAAGTCGGTCGCGGTTTCCTTGTGCATTGTATACCTTCGCATGATACTAGGCGATTGTTAGCGAAAGGACTATCATAGACTGGTCACAGGAGCTAGTGTCAGGCTACTTACGCGAAGCTGCTTCTCAATCTCGTCAACCTCTTCAGGGTTGCGCGGCCCTTCAGTTTCATTGCTAGACATTCCGTCGGTAGAGTGGATGATGGAATCGATGTATTGAATCTCTTCCTGGGTGATCACTCTTGACCTACCGGCTGCTCTCACCAGACGCTTTGCGTCCTTCTTCTCGCGTTTTGATGGCAGTATGCCTGCAATCACGGCTACGCGGCCATCCTCGGTACCATAATCACACGAGTTGTTGGTATCTCTCGGTGTCTCTTCAGCCGCAATGTTGGGTGCGGACGGAACTATAGTCCAATCGGCCTCGCCGCAGCTCTCATAGATAGCGTGCAGCTGCTCAGCAATATCTTGGTGTCTCTTGTAGTGGGCCTCGTCAATGGCTAGACAGTGTTTGCAGGTATGGCCGCGCAGGCGCATGAACATGGCCTGCACTATGTCAATACTTCATTAGCTATGAGAGAAGTTGATAACAAACCTGATGGAACCGCACACATGGCTCACTATGCTTCCCGAAGCAAGAAGTCTTTGCACTTGGGTGCTTCAGAGAACGCGTGCAAACTCCGTAATGGTGCCTACACTGGTTAGCAAGGCGCTATAATCGCAGTGGGATGACATAACAAGGAAAAACAACAAGAAAAACATGAACAAAACGGGAGGTGTCATGCTTAAGCGCTTGCGAATCTTCCCACTTGGATAACAAACCATTGGCCATGTTGTCTGCTTGGATATGTTCCCCTGATTGGCCTGCTACTGAACAGGGCGGGGGTTGAGTAAGGAAGCAGAAGTCTAGGCAATTTCGGTAGCGGAGGTACAAAATAGTTGTACGGCTGAAACAAGGCGTTTGCTTGACACAGAAGATGAGGTTAGTGAGAACCGCGCCTCAGTACAAGCTATTTGGGAAGGTGGGTGACTGCGTAATTCACTGTGGACGAATGATACATGATCTAGGCAATTTATGGAAAGAGTGTGAATATAACAAGTAGACAGAAACTGAAATGACCGGACATGGCAAAACAACTATACAGCATTGCGAACGAATTCACCAAGAAACGAAAGGAGATGTGTGTGGCGGGGAGGGACCCCTAACGCTGCAGTGAAGGCTGCAGTGAGCCGCTGTTGTTCCGCCCATCCACCACTACTTCGTCCGGCTGCGAAACTACACGCGTCATAACCGCATCCAAGTCACATATGGTTGTTAGCCTACCACTACACATCTGTCACGATACGGGCACCGGCCCAGACATAAGGATAGTTACGCTGGTACCAGTTGACGCTTAAACATGTCAGCGACACAATCTCAGCTATACTCGCTCCGCTGCACTTACAATGTCTTACGCCCAGCAATGCGCGGATGCGTCGCCCAGGATCCACCCAGAGTTATGTTGTGTTTGCCGTCGAAGAAGTCGGCTGCTTGCTGTCAGCGATATGATATTGCATGTAAGCCGAGCGATAGAAGCCCGTAGAAGTTCCCCATACCTGTGTAACCTGGATAAAGCTCCATCGGCTCAAAGCCATCATGCTTCTCCAGCACAGTACTAGTCCATTCCCAAACACCGCCCAGATCAGATTGCCCACAGAGCTTGTTGCCCTTTTCGGCCACCGAGACTGGGTGCCAGTGCTTGAAACCCACATTGGTCCCCTCAAGGTCGATGAAGAGATCGCGTGGCTTAAGACCGGTTGCTGCGCCGGAGTTGCCGTTAAACAAATGGTGTGATGGCGGTGTCTCAAACACGCCTTCGTTAAGCAGGTGGCTGTGTTGTGTTAGACATTTGACTCTTCCTGACTGACTCTCAAAAACGTACCCGTTGACTGCTGGTATCGTGTTGCCGAGCGACTGCTCAAACTCTGGCTTGATACTGTCGACATAGGCGTAGATACTTCGTGCCTCTTCCATGGTGGGGATGCGACCGCCCATCCATTGCACGCACCCAGCAAGCTCATCATAGGATGCAACAACAGGCCAGCCCATGGCCAACTTCAATGGAATAGTTCCGTAAACTGTACGCACAAATCTTCCTTTAGTGATACTCTGCGAGGATTCACCATTGTCATTCGAGTGACCATTGACAACACTGTCTCTCTTCCCGGTATTTGCGCCGTCACCGTTGAAATAAGCCTTGTCGCACCAAGATGCAGGTATTTCTAGTCGAGCCAAGTCAGCAAGTTGTATTCATGTAACGATGCAAATGATCCTGGAATTACTGAAACAAGATCAACATGTTGTGTGCGAATGGTACGCACCTTTCTTGCCTGTCTGGAGCAGGTATGTGGCATACTCTCCATTTGTAATAGGCCGAGCCTTGGCACGGAAGGACTTCACGTGTACTGATCGACGAGGTCTCTCATTGTCCCAGCCAAAGTATCGTTTGCTTCCAAAATCTTTCTCTGGGTCATTGAGTCCGATGTCTACGTCAGACTCTGGGATCGTGAACCACTCGTTCTCAACAGCCATAACTTCTGACTGTGCAGCAAAAGCAGCAAAATCTGGTGGTTTGATTCCTGGAGGTGGCAAGATCTTGTCACTTTGAATAAGCATATAGAGCAAGGTCTCCAGATGCATTGCCTCATGCTCAAAGGCTATCCACAATCCCCGCGAAACACGGCCGTTGTTCTCTGCTTCTCCAGAATCGTAGAGCGCTTCAAGATTCTTGCGAATGGTCTGTTGATATTGCAAAATCGTATCCAATGGCGGCCACTCTTCAGGGACTTCAGAGTGGGCATGGCATAAGGTTGGGTCATCAACATCAGGATCTACACCACGCTCGAAGATCTTCCAGAAATAGGCGGGTTCTGTGGGCTTGCCATCGGTGGCACGAGCGATGTGGATGTCGAGAAATGTAGGAATATGGCCTAGGTAGAAGATGCACTCGTTTCGGAGTTTGATCGGCTTGGCGAGCAGTTCGCTATTTGGGATCATATGTTTCGAAACGGCATCCCAGGCTTTCCATATTTCCTGCCACTCAGTGAGAGAAGGCACGGGCTTTGCCGCATACTCTTCTGGCGTAGTAGGGAAGAAGAATGAGGGCTTGGAAACCATGTGAAGACCTAATACTATCAGATGTGTCATCGCTTCATCATCTTTAGTGCGTACTCACCATAATCACCCTTTGAATTAGCCCACACCGTGTTCTCAGCAAGTTTGGCGAGCTCCCAGAGCTTCTTGGCTTCTTCGTGGCTGTACTTGTAGCTCTCCTCGATTCTGATTCTCTCGCCCTGCTTGATTGGAACTCCATCGATGACGGCATCTTTACGCGGTGCTACAAAAGCATGATGTCTCCCAGCCTTTATATCATACTCGCCAATGACTTCCCAGTCGTCCAAGTTAAAGGCAGTTTCCCCCATGAGATCGTTTGCGTGCTTGAGTCCGTTGAGTATGAATCTGTGGGTAACACCGTCGCGGTCGTTGTAGGCATGGAACACACGCTAGCGTAGGTCGAAGGTCAGTATTTATCTTGCGTACAATTCGTGGCAGGAAATATACTTTGGGATCTTTGCAGGAATCGATGCCGATAAGCATGGTATCACCAGTTTGTAATACTTTGCCGAACCCGGCAAGGAACGGCGGTACTTCATGACGCTTGAAGTTGCCCAAACTGGAGCCTAGCCAAAGGATCGTCTTGGGTTTGGCTTCGACGGCGGGGGACTTGAGCCACTCCAGAGCGTCATCGTACGTTCCGTGGAGCCCGAAGCATTTGACATGGCTATACCCCTCTACGCGGGTGGTCAGCAAGCCTTCGTAATCAAGGAGTCATGTGGCATTGCCATGGAGGCTATGCGATAGATAGATGGGTACTATGGTAGACTAGCGCGGGGTCTGTTGAGTTGTACATATGCAGACCCCAGGCGAACCCCGATGACGGTCGCCAACGCTTTTACCTTGGACTAGAGCAGATAAAGGCGCTTATTCGTATAACTTATCCAATAACGCCGTGTCGAATTGCGCTCACTTACCTATGGGTATCTCTTTGAAGGTTCTTTCCAGCTCAGGTAGGGACAAGTCGACGGCGTAGTATTCGATATCTTTGCCCAGACGATCAATGGCCTGCAACAGTATGTTGACTTTTCTCAGATTGCTGCATAGATATTAGTACTTACGAAGCACGAGGCTCGTTTCCAATCTCTTGTATGGTGAGAGCCGAGATCCTACCCGCTCCCCAATTCCACCACGATTGATCCTGGGGAAATGCATTGGGCTATTTTATCTGCATACGTCTCAAGTACTTCAATCTCGGCATTAGTCAGGTAGTACCTGGTGCGAAGGATGTTTGTCAGCCTGACAGCCAAGCCCCTAGTGGATGGAGTTCCTCACTCTTCCTGGTATGTGATTTGTTCGAACAGACGGAGTCCTTCCTGGCTGTGGAGATGGGGAGGACATTAGCAAGTACCTTTAGCTTGATGCGTGCCTGCTTACTCGTAGAGCAGCAACGTGGGCAAGGTTTTCTCGGCACCAGCATCCGGCCGAAGGCCTTTTTTGATATCTGCGAGGATATCTGATTCAGCTGTATCGACACGAATGTCGATGATTTTGGCGGCCATATTGTTGCAAAGCTTTGGGTCAGTTTGTTTTGGTGCAAGTGTTGGCTCGAGACGAGCAATCTTGTTGGTTTCAAAAAGAGCTGGATGCTGCGTAATACTTATAGTAGGTTGGAGAAAAGTACGTAATGTGGGTACCTAGAAGCTTATGCTATGCGGTAGCTGACGGTAACTAAAGGCCCGGTAGATGTGCATCTTAAACATCTCAATAATACATGACCAAGGCGTTTCCCGGACAAGTTTAACCTGACTAGTGGCTGTGGTGTCCATGTCACCCGCCACAGGACAGCAAATCAAGACGGCTATGCCTCTCACGCTCCGCAGCGGTACGCCAGAAGCGCTTATGGCGTAGAGAGGATGCTCCCGTCGTCACCAGGAACCCCGCCTCAGCAGATTGCAGAACAAGTCGCATTGGGACCCGCAAGAAGGATAGCTGGCTGACAGATGGATGCTCAGGATGCTGTAGGGCTACAGTGGTGACGTCAATGTCTACCGAACGAGGATGGGCAGGGGAGTTTGACATCCATGGCCAGCCATGCAGCTAGAGTACGTACGCACATCCTGTGGTGTGGGGAAACCAAGGCCGAAAAACCCGCTCAGGCACACGCTGCACGGCGCCGTATAGTAGCACCTCCAGCATGGCCGCGACAAAGCGCGAAGAGAATATCCCGGCTTGACTGTACTATGTGTATGGACAACAGTGCTGCGGGGTTGCTGAGTAGCCTGCATGGCGTGCATAGCCGATGCCGTCACAGCGGAGCCAGATACGGGGCTTGACACATGTGTCCGAGTAATAAGAAAAAGGAAGTGCATCCACACAAGATGAGGTGAGAACGGCACAGCTGGATGGATGGGGTTTGATGTGATGCTCGGCTGGCTGCAGATGGATCGGTTGTGTCGAGGGATTGAGTTTCATCGCAGCGTTTATTACTACTACTTGGGTACGTACTGCGGGGGAAGGCAGGAGGAGTGGAGCCTCATCTACTACTACATACGACATCCCGCCATGTCCCAAGTACGCCTACTACACACAAGCAACAGGCTCATCACCCAACTACGGAACCTGTCAGCCGCTGGTCTATATACGACAACGTCCTTGGCCATGAACGATTACGACAGCATTACACGCATGCAGATACCGACGCGGCTGACGCACTTTGCTTCAACGGCCGCGAAGAAGCCGTCTACCCTAACCACCATGGCGTGACCTTGTACCTATTCGGGTAATCATATCGCCAGCCTCATCTTGTACAAGAACTGGTCTGATGAGCATTGCGGATGAATTTCTGGAAATCCCCTGCCCGACACCTGTTTTCCCACCCAGAGTCCCTTATCCCCGGTATAATGATGCGCATCTTACGCTGCCCACCATTTACCTACGGCGTCCCCACTTGCATACCAATCGCGCAACGTTATCATGAGCCAACAACGACCGCGCCTAGGGCTGTGGAAAGGAGTCGGAAGGTACCTTCAGCTGTCCTCAGTATCGGTTGAATAAAGCTGAATATGGGCATCTCTAGCCACTAGAAATTGTGGCCCCTTGCTTGCAAATGCTCCTTTCACGCCCCAGAACGCCAGAAAGCTTCTCATACAAAGACATCAAGAAACCTTCTCCATAGTCTGCGCTACCCGATTTTAGCCAGCTCGGACCAATTGCAAGTCGCCTTTAACCAACTTGCTCTAGAATACTCAGCACACGGTACTCGCCGGCAAGCCTCCCGCAACCCCTTTGTGACCCTTCTGATTGTCGGAAGCGAACAATAGCAAAATAGTACATTCCGAGGGCCGTGGCGTTCCCAGCTGCTGGATACGAGAGTTGCATTCTGCGCCATGACCAAACGGCGCGAACCTAGCCTCTGGTCGCGACGCTCGTGATCTGGCTGTTGTGACGGGCTTTCAGTAAATGCTCTTCCAAAGGCTTCCTTGATTCCTCGCTCCCTTTTTGCCTCCCGAACTTTGCGCCTCCTGTATTATTGGAACAGCCCTTTGCCAAGATGATGTGATCTCCATTGGATTCCAGACATGGTAGCCCGCCGCCTCCGCCCATGGTGCGAGGAACGGCTTCAGCCGACCCCAGCGCCAGCCTTGATTTCCCATGTCAGACATAACCATACAATACCCTCGTGTCTACCTCAGGCTGTATATGTCCTCTTGAGACTCCGTAAAGACTTTTCTATCAATCCCCTGTCCATGCCTTTCATCATGAAGTGTTATGCCGATTTATGCCAGTCTTGGATGGTCTCCACCATGCATAGTAACTTCTTCTCCCCCATCGAGGACACTTTTTCCCATTCCGCCCAGGTGTCGACGCTAGAGCTTGAAAAGGAATTATTGGAAAACGAACTCGCCAACTGCGTTACCTATTTGCAGGCGCTACGGAAGAAGCAAACTCGGAATGAGCGGCGGCTTGCTGCCGACTCATCCTTGCCTGTTAGGAAAAGGAAGAAGATTCGACAAAGTATGCGTGAGCTGGAGAAAGAAATCCAAAATCGAGAGCGTGATAAACAAGCATTTCTCAACAATCTCCAAGCTTGTAAAGCAAACATCTATCTCGCCGAGACAGTGTCTTCGCCATCTACAACAGTTTCGTCAACGATACCGGACCTTGCCTCGGACTCTACGCTATGTTCATACCCGGAAGAACCCGAAGCCAGAGATGGGCAATGGAACGGTTGGGCGGACAAGACGGCATCATCTCCGTTTCAAAAGGATTGCAGCAACTCTTCCTCTGTTGACGACATCGCACCAGATGACCATCCAGGTGTTGACGGGTTCGATTTAGCAACCACCAAAAGCACAGTATGTGCACAGTATGTGGCACAGACAGGCGCTACGTGGCCTTTGCCCATGGCTTGCACATCAAAGCAGTTTGTGTTCAGCCCCGAGGCTGCTCTCTTTGAACCACGAAACTCCCACAAGGATCAGGATTTGCAGTTGGATCAACAGTTCGCTGAATTACATCTTTCCTCGCCAATAGCAGCGGCAACGATGGACGGCACGGGATGGGGTAATGGCATGGATAAATGTAGCCTCACCAAATCTGTCACTGCACAACCAAATCGGAAAAACTCGTTTGAGAGAAGTGTTGAGGAAGCGAGGAGGCAGTCTTGGGACAACAGAGCTCCGCGGCAGCAAAGACTAGACGAGGAGATAGGAAATGCTGGCAGGCCCAAGAGGAGCAGGGTGAACTCTGTGTGATGGGTAGATGTCACGGCACGACAGGTGGATACTATATATTACCCCACTTCCCATGCATACATACATACATACATACAAGGAATAGTGGCTCTTTTATTGGCGCATCGAGTGCCATTTCTCAATCGAAATTCTTCTTTTGTGTTCGATCACTCTCCCCCATGCTCCCTGGGCTTCTTGGTGCGACACTGCAGTGGGGGAGGCGTTTACTCACCAACCAGCATGGCTCTAGTACAATCGAAATCATTTCAATAGAACCGTCTCGTATTCAGATCTGTCTTCACAAAAGCCAACGAAAAGATGTGAGGCATTGGTAAAATTCGTTTCACGTGCTACTGCGGCGTGCTGAACGGCAGTTCGGCCCATGACTACCAGCCCGGGCCAGGTCGGCTTATGCTAAAGCCCCACACAGTGACGTGCCGCCAACCCATGCTTCCTTCGCGCGGTCGCTGCACACAAACTGCACTGCCCACGACCTTGTTCCCTTCCCATCCCACGTTCAACATTCACACGCTAGCTAGAGTTCAACACTCTGAGCCTTCTCGTTGGTCCGCATCCAAGAAGCGAGATTTGTGGCCACACAGAGACAAATCGGAATCTACAGCCGCGCCGGCGCATTCAGCTCCAACGCCCTGCAGTGCCGGACAGTCACTTGAACACGGCAGTTCACCCAGCGTTCAATTCTTGGCTGGCGCTGTGATATCAGTCGAGAGAACCCCTCACCTATCTGGTCTCCAGGCAACCTGCTTCCTATCCAGTTGCTCGCATCCCAGCCAACATGGCTGATGTTAGCAACGGGCCCATGGCCGACGGTAGCCAGCTGCGAGAGCGGCCAAACGCCAAACCACTACATCTCAACAATGCAGACGATGCTAAGCAAAAGGTTCTGCAGTTGAACGACGAAGAAAATAAAAGGCACAAAGGTGATGCCAGCAAAAAGCGAACCTATGGAAGGACTCCAGATGGTACAGGTATGTCTCGCGTCGCTGAGAATGACCAGAAGAAACGGCCATTATCTTGCATACACGAGGAATCCCCCACTCTTTGCAAAGCTGCTCACCAGTTCTAACTCTTCCAATGCAGTTTTCGTTGTCCCCCAGACCCACGACATGGTCTCACAACTTCTCTCGCCCTCGCAACCTAAAAACCTGTCGGATTTAGCAGTCCTTGGTGTGCTCGCTTCCATGATTTTGACCTTCTTTGCACTGCCCAAAAGCGCCCGTATCCCCGTATTCGCAATAGTCTTCCTCTTCTGGCGCGCCGGCTACAATGCAGGCATTGGTTGGCTGCTCGATGGCCAGTCCAAGCACAACCGCCTCGTCTTGTGGGCGAAGCAGAGCCACATCTTTGAGAATCCCGAAACAGGCAAAAACCCACACCCGGCCCTGTACAAACTTCTCAAGCGTGAGCTGGAGATCAAGATCCCAGAGGATTACAAGTTTGAAGAAGCGCCGCTTGAGTACAACACATGGCTCGTGTTTAGACGTGTGGTAGACCTGATTCTGATGTGTGATTTCGTGTCATACTGCCTTTTCGCCATCGCCTGTTTCAACCGACCCCAGGAAAGCTGGTTCCTGTGGGCTCTGCGATGGACGACGGGCGTCGTCCTCTTCCTTTTCAACCTTTGGGTCAAGCTTGATGCGCACCGAGTTGTCAAGGACTTTGCATGGTACTGGGGTGACTTTTTCTACCTCATTGACCAAAGCCTGACATTCGACGGCGTTTTCGAGATGGCACCGCAGTAAGACCCTCTGTTGCGTCGTTGAACCAAAGACATACTAACGCGCTACCCCTGCACACAGCCCCATGTACTCGATCGGGTATGCCGGATACTATGGTATTGCCCTAATGACGGCAAGCTACAAAGTCCTAGCAATCTCCATCATCGCCCATGCTGCCCAATTTGCTTTCTTGTCCATCGTAGAGGAGCCCCATATTGAAGCGACGTACAATCCAGCTCCTCCCCGCCGCACGCGCCAAATCTCTGGGGAGGCTGCTCACGAAGATCGCCCCAAGACTGGTCAATCCGAACTCGGATTCGGCGACGCCGTCCACGATCCCTCTAAGCAACCTGCCCCAACGCACCACATTGTAGGACCTCTAAACACAGATTTCCATCGATCCATCGATGTCACGGTAGTACTGCTTTCGTTCTATATGATATGCTTGGCGGTGCTGACTCCCAACACGTGGACGGTGAAAGCATTTCTCTTCGTCAATGCTTTCGGATGGCGGCTATGGTATGCATTGGGTCTAGGTTACATCCTGGACCGACAGTCCAAGAAGAAGAATTGGACCAAGCACTTCATTAAGTATGGCGATACCAAAGAAGAGGCCTGGCGTCAGTGGAAGTCCCTTTACCACATGAGCATGACGATGAGTCACGCAAGCTTTGTCGCACTTGCCTGGAAGATGTACAGTCTCCCTCCTGAAGGCTTGAGCGGGCTTGCGCTCTTTCGACACGTTCTTGGTGCTGCCATGATCGCTCTTCAGTTGTGGGTTGCTATGAGCATATACGAGTCGCTTGGAGAATTCGGATGGTTCTGCGGAGACTTCTTCTTCGATCCCCCTTCGAAATCGCTTACCTACAGTGGCATCTACCGCTTCCTGAACAATCCAGAGCGGGTTCTTGGGCTCGCTGGTGTCTGGGGTGTAGCCATCATAACATGGAGCCCTGCAGTCTTCTATCTCGCTACAACAGCCCATGTTCTCAACCTCGCGTTCCTGCAATTTGTAGAAAAACCACATGTGATCAAGGTAAGTTGTAAAATCGTATTGCACACCACATAGAGTTGTTATACCATCCCAACATCGGCCTGGACCAAGAGACTATGTGGAGCGCATCTGAATACAACCAGCCTGTATGACTTGCTAACTCTATCTTTCTAGTTGTACGGCCGCAACCTCCGCGAGATGTCAGGTGTCAGCAAGACTGTGCGTCAGGCGTTACCTGATCCAGTCCGCCAGTGGCAGTCGGCAGCCGACCAGTACATCAACTCGATGATGGAAAAAATTGAGAAATTCTTGGACGATACAAGACCAAAAATTGCTGCTGACTTCAGTACATTCGCCCAGAAGGTGACGAGTGTGTTCAATATTTCTCCGAGGCGGATTACTATCAGCCGGGCCTCACAAGACATGTCTGGTTTGGACCCCAGGCAATACAAGCTAGAGGTTGAAGGAACCTTGTTGCCGGCAACAGTTGAAAAGCAGAGGAATGGCGGCCGCGAAGGCGAGCTTGCCCGGATTCCAGCCGTACGGACGAATGATTTCAAGACGCTGGCGCTGGAATACGGTGCGCCCATCAAGGTTCGTTGGCAAGCTCCTCTAAATCACAGCAAAAAGGACTGGATCGGTCTATACATGGTCGCCGATAATCAGTCTCGCGAGGTTACACACATTAGCTCGAATGGACGATGGGTTGCCACCAACAGGGACATGTTTGACTCTGCTCGCGCCGACGATGGCATACTAGTCTCGGACAAGCTACATCCTGCAAACGCTGCTGATGAAGAGGCATCCGACTGCTACACTGGCGAAGTGGAGTTCCGCGGAGATAAGCTTTGGTGGACGACTGGTGTGTTTGAGTTTAGGTACCATCACGACGGTGGACACCATGTCATGGCACTCTCGCAGGCCTTTGAGATTCAGATTCCAAAGTTTGACGAGGATGATGTGGAGGTGGACGAGAATGGAACGACGCATCGGGCTGTGGAAGTGGCACTTCTTCCCATTATCCAGAACTGCTTTGACCGCGACCCAGAGGTTGCGCCTTCGACGCCCGAGGAGCCTTTTGGCAGCCGAGTGGAGCGCCATGGTAAATTTGCTAAGCGCGTGGTCTTTGCCGTACATCAGATGTAAGTTGATGGCTGTCAATTGGGTTTTGCAAAGACAGGAGACTAATGATGGCCAGGTTTGGTATCGAGTTCGCACCTGAGGTTGTACAAGCGGATGGCACGGTTAGGAACCTTGCCTGGCGCATCTGCAATGCGAAGAAAGTTTTGGTAAGTCACTCGCGTGTTGGGTTGGTTGGAAAGGCATAGCTAATGCGATTCATTGTTAGGCCCCTTACAGCATGACTGCTACTCATGGCAGAAATACGCCGACATGACGAGTAGGGTGGTGAGAGATGCGCTGCAGCGTAACCATGGCCTTGGTCCGTTTTCATTGTTTCCTGTGTGGCAATCATGATATTTTTGGAGGGCGGATAGAGCATACACTCGCTTGCATAATCGGCTTCTGGTTCGAATGCAGCTCAGACATTTGATGTCGCAGGGATTTATTTTGCGCCAAGCTAGATCTTTGCCATACGTAGTAATATTACCGCATATGCACGTTGATTGGGCTGAGCACAAGACCGCCGCCAGGTGAGGCGACAACGCCCCCTTCACGCACTCGCCTGTAGCGGATGATAACAGCTCTCTCCTTCGCTTGCCCTGTCACAGCAGACTGTGACTTTACTTCACTCTCCGCTCTTGTGTAGGGCCGAGGCTACGTGCTGTGCTTTTGCACGTTACAGATGATCTCCACCGAACGAAATAAAGTCATAGCCTGCTCTGATAATCGCAGGGTGAGAGATCCGCCAAGCTGCAGGCAGGCCACAAGGCTGAGGCTGAGCGACAAAAGATGTCGAAAGCGCTGCTGTTGCTGCTAGGCTATGATCAATCCTTCTTTTCCGCATGAATCGGCTCCCAACAGGCGTACGTTCATCCCTCCCCCGACTCCATAATCGCTCCAAATGCCACGCCAACTACGCCGCGAAGACTACACCGTAGGATGGGTGTGCGCGCTGCCTGTCGAGCTGGCAGCAGCCAAAGCGATGCTCGACGAAATGCACGCCAACGCTGATTGTGATGTCGGCGACAATGACGAGAACGTGTACTGCATGGGATCAGTTGCAGGCCACAACGTTGTGATCGTATGCCTTCCAGCAGGCCACATCGGGAACAACCCAGCCGCGACCGTCGCGACCCAGATGCGGACAGCGTTTAAGGGCATCCGATTTGGGCTGATGGCAGGTATCGGCGGAGGCGTTCCGAGCGCCAGCGCAGACATTCGACTTGGGGACGTGGTGGTGAGCCAGCCGCAAGGGACCTTTGGTGGAGTGGTTCAGTACGACTTTGGGAGAAGAACGCCAAACGGACTTGAGCGGATTGGATCGCTGAACTCACCACCTCGGATACTGCTCAGCGCTGTAAACACTGTAAGAGCAAATGCAATAATGAACGAGAGCACATTGTCAGACCACCTATCAACACTCGAGCGCATCCCTATCTTCCAGCGCCGCAAGGCAGGTCCCGATATCCTGTTCAAGGGTGCCTATAATCATAAGCACGGCGCCACATGCGACAGGTGTAGCGTTAGGAGTCGACAACTACGACCAGAACGCGAGGGCGGAACAGAGGTAATAGTACACTACGGCACGATTGCTTCTGGCAATCAGGTGATAAAGGATGCCGCCGAGAGAGACAGGGTCAGCGCAGAGCTTGGTGGGGTATTGTGCTTTGAGATGGAGGCGGCGGGGCTGATGAACAGCTTCCCATGCCTTGTCATTCGCGGTATATCCGACTACGCCGATTCACACAAGAATGAGCGATGGCAGGCTCACGCGGCAGGGACGGCAGCGGCGTATGCGAAGGAGCTGTTGTCGGTAATACCGGCAGCAGATGTGATGAACACACGCCGTGCGGAGGATGCTATAAGCAGCGGCGAGAACAGTTAGTTCATTTACCGTATTGCTACTAAGAATGTATTTGAATTAACATGTTGATAGAACATCGCCGTCAGTCATCACCTTCTGATCATGCTTCCTGTAAGCGCATAAAGAATGTCATCTCTAAGGGCTCAGAGAGTAGTTCTGCAGAGTGAGTCTTTCATATCCCTAAGTGACACTCCCTCAATAAACTTCTACTAAACTACACAGACAGTGGAATGCTACACGTACGTTGCTCAATCGCCCCCAAATGCGGACACGGCCTATTCTTACTATGCTAGTCCCTACTCACTCCCAGGAACCCTCGCGAACACCGATGAACGATGAACAAAGGCAGATTCTATTGGACTCTCTAAGATTCCAGCAGATTGATGCGCGCCAGATGACTATCAAGACCGCCCACGCCAAGACGTGCAGATGGCTCTTGAAGAGTGAGCAGTACCTCAACTGGCTCGATACAACCAGGCTAGATGAACACCATGGCTTCTTGTGGATCAAGGGCAAGGCCGGAACGGGCAAGTCGACGTTGATGAAGTATGCGCTGGTTAATGCTCGCAAGACAATGAAGGACTACATCATACTCTCCTTCTTCTTTAATGCGCGCGGCGAGGAAATAGAAAAGTCTACAGTTGGGACATACCGTTCTTTGTTGCTGCAGCTTCTCGACCGTCTCCCAGCGCTTCAGGATATTTTTGATTCGCTTAGCCTATCAGCCTCAAAGTTCACCGCAGACTACCAGTGGAATATCGAGACATTAAAAGCACTGCTGGAGCAAGCGATACAGAGCTTAGGAGACTCGTCTGTCGTATGCTTTGTTGATGCGCTTGATGAGTGTGAAGAGGAGCAGGTTCGGGATATGATCCAATTTTTCGAGCATATCAGCGATCTAGCCGTATCAAACCATATCCGCTTCCAGGTATGCTTCTCGAGCAGGCACTACCCGCACATCACAATCCAGAACGGGCTAGAGCTAGTGCTAGAGGGGCACGAGGGACACTCGCAAGACATTACTCACTATGTTGAGACTGAGTTAAGGATTGGTAAAAGTAAGACTGCACAGCAGGTCCGAGCCGAGCTTCAGCAGAAGGCGTCGGGGATTTTTATGTGGGTTGTTCTCGTTGTGGGTATCTTAAACAAAGAGTTCGACAAGGGGCAGGTACATGCACTTCGAAAGAAGTTGAAGGCAATCCCTGGAGACCTGCACAAACTGTTCCGTGACATCCTGACACGAGACGAGCACAACAAGGATAGACTGGTGCTGTGCATCCAGTGGGTGCTCTTTGCGAAGCAGCCGCTCAGTCCGGAGCAGCTTTATCACGCTCTTCTCCTAAGTATCGATCCTGACGCTATCTTAGAATGGGACCCCGAGGAGACTACAAAAGATGATGTTAAGCGGTTCCTCCTTAACTCTTCTAAAGGTCTCGCTGAGGCTACCATTTCTAAAGAGCCGAGGGTTCAGTTCATCCATGAATCAGTAAGGGACTTTTTACTTAAAGAGGACGGTCTCAGCAAGATCTGGCCAGAGTACGGTAACAACTTTCAAGGTCAAAGTCACGAACGACTAAAGCAGTACTGCCTTGACTATATTAGCATCGACGTTGCTACACCCTTGCAGATTCCCGACGAGCTTCCGAAAGCCTCCTCGCAACAGGCAGCCGACCTGCGCAAATTAGCAACCCAAACATTTCCCTTTCTAGAGTATGCCGTCCGCAATGTGCTGTATCATTCGGACGCAGCAGAAGTCGGAGGCATCTCTCAGGCGAAATTCCTTGACAGATTCCTTGACAGCTTCCCGCTTTCTCGATGGGTCAAGCTCGACAACTTACTTGAAAAGCATCAAGTGCGGAGACACACGGAACGCGTCAGTCTGCTGTATTTGTTGGCCGAGCTTAACACGGCAAATCTTATTAGAGTTCTCGATTCAGCCAGCCGCTGTATGGACGTCGAGGTGGAGCGCTACGGCTGCCCTCTTTTCGCCGCAGCTGCTATGAACAGTGAAAAGACTCTTGAAGCGTTTCTGAAGTCTACTAGGTTGCAGCAAGCTGACTGCAGCTTCGGAAAAGTAGTGGGAGAACAGCAGTCTCAGCGCAAGTTGGCTCAGTGCGCCGCAAGACGTGACTTTGTATACTCGAAGGCAAAAGATTTCCTCCTAAATGCAGCAGAGCTTGGGCATGACGAGGTTCTTGCGCTTTCGATCAAATCAGAGAGATTTAGGATTGGTTCGAAAGATTCGAAGAATAGGACGGTGCTATGGTGGGCTTCCAGAAATGGCTGTGGGACATCGGCGAGGCTGTTGCTCGCTGCAGACTCTGCCATGGTCAACAGCAGGAATGACGGCACGACCCCACTAATTATAGCAGCGGAGCAAGGGCATTACGAGATGATTGAAATACTGGTAGACAAGGGCGCCGACGTCAACGCCCAGAGTGGACAGTACGGCAACGCACTCCAAGCAGCTTCAACTAAAGGCTATAAAGAGATCGCGATGCTACTGCTAGACAAGGGCGCCGACGTTAACGCCCAGAGTGGACAGTACGGCAACGCACTCCAAGTAGCTTCAGTTGTTGGTCACAAAGAGATCGCGATGCTACTGCTAGACAAGGGCGCCGACGTCAACGCCCAGAGTG